CAGCTACCGCAAATAGATTTTGGAAAGAAAAGAACAAAAAAAAAAATCCCAACACTTTACTATGTAGCTTTTTTGCCTTACTGCTAAGAAAAAAAGAAGCCCCGAAGAAGAAGTTGGATTTATACCCCTTGCCCTTCACTATCCAAAGGTGTCTCAGAGCAGCTTACAAACTCCTTTCCCTTTCCCTCCCCACAACAGACACCCTTGTGAGGTAGGTGGGGCTGAGAGAGCTCTGACAGAAACTGCTCTTTTTCAAGGACAGCTCTTATCAGAACTATGGCTTGCCCAAGGTCATCCAGCCAGGTGCAAGTGGAGGAGTGGGGAATCCAACCCGGTTCTCCCAGATTAGAGTCCGCGCACTTAACCACTACACCAAACTAGTTCAAGAAGAGGAGGAGATGAAGAAGAAGAGATTGGATTTATACCCCGCCCTTCACTCGGAGTCTCAGAGCGGCTTACAAACGCCTTTCCCTTCCCCTCCCCACAACAGACACCCTGTGAGGTGGGTGGGGCTGAGAGAACTCTGACAGAAACTGCTCTTTTTCAAGGACAGCTGTGCCAGAGCTTGTGACTGACCTAAGGTCACATCAGCAGGTGCAAGTGGAGGAGTGGGGAATCAAACCTGGTTCTCCCAGATTAGAGTCCGTGCACTTAACCACTACACCAAACTGGAAGTGTATGACGGCAATGCTACAAGCATTGCAGAAGACATACTCAAAAATGGAACTTGCTCTGTGCACGGTGCTCTTCTCTCTGTGTGTGTGTGTGTAAAGTGCAACCCTGTAGGATTCTGCTCGCATAAGGAGACGAACAGAGATGGCGTGCCACCACCTGCCTCTGCGTGACAACCTCCGTCTTCCCGGGTGGTCTCCCATCCAGGGCTGACCCTGCTTAGCTCCCGAGGTCTGATGAGATAAGATCAGGCCAACCTCTTGCGTCTCTAAAAAATAAGCCACGTTTCAAGGGTATTCGCAACTGTCCAATGGACGGCACTGCTCTGCCAGCCAAATCCGGCTCAGAGACTATGGAAACTAGAGTTCCCATTACCCCCAGCAGGAGGCTGGAGATGTCTTCATTTCTGGGATGAGCTCCAACGGGGCGCACGCCTTTCTGAGGAGCCGCACCTGTGTGCACGAGGCTATTCTTCCCATTCGAGTTCAGAAAAGCACAGTTCATGGAGAGGAAGAGCAATGGTGCTGGGAAGGACCCAGTGAGCGCACACACGCGCCCGTCTTCTGAGTGTGCCATGAACATTTGTGAATGCCTGAACATTCTGAGTGTGCCGACAGGGAGGTCTACAAACACTCAAGCAGTTCTGGGTCCCACCACAAGGGGCATTTTCCTAACACTCGCCTAACACCAGTTCACCCATCGTCAGTGTGAGCCGGCTCACAGTTTTTTAGCCTCCGGCTCACACAGTTTTGTCTTAGCACAGGAAGGAGGGCTCCAGAGCAAACTGATTCATGCAGCCCACTCGCTCGCTCACCACTTTAATGCCGGCTGCTCACAAAGTAGAATTTATTGCTCACAAGACTCCACAGCTTAGAGGGAGCATTGCCCATCGCTAGTTTTCTGGCTTTTTGAATCATGGTCAAGAGCAGAGCAGAGTGGTGTTATAACCAGGGGTCATTTCGTAGAAAAAGAGGTGCAGGAGCTCATTAGCATAACTCGTTTGCATATGCCACACCCCCGTCCATCACCGGAAGTGTGTCAGAAGGCAACACCCACCGCTCAGGCTCCACTGGACTCTTTTGGATTGCTAGCTATGGGGGGGGGGGAGAACGTGCAGATCTGCCCTCACAGAGGAGGGAGAGCTTGTACTTGAAGGCAGGCGGGGGGGGGCTCTGCAGCTTACCTAGCTGCTTCTTGCTCTGACTGAGGGCTGCTGGGAGCAGGGGGTGGGGCTTGTTGCATGTGCCCGCCCCCCTGGGCTCCTTACTGCCGGAGCTCTGCTCCTGTGCGCTCCCGCAGGAAATGACCCCTGGTTATAACTATCCCCAAGCAAAGTAGCAGCAGAAAGTAGCAGCAGAAAGCTACTCAAGCGGGGGGGGGGGCAGGAAGGCTTGTACATTTCCACCTTCCTGGGCAAAGTGGCCTGTCATGGTTGGGAACAGAACACCCAGCAGTGCCCAGAGCAATGTGGGGGGGGGGGAGAGCATACTGAACAGAGAGAGGCCAAGAAATCTCATGCCTGCCTTGTAGTCATTTGAGGGAAGGGGTTCTGGGATCCCCAGTAGAGTTTTGTATCTGGAAAGTCCTGATTCCAATCCCTGGCACCTCCACATTAAGAATATCATCAGACACTGGCAGGGGAAGAGCTTTCGTGAGTCACTGCTCACTTCTTCAGATGCCCTGCTGAAGAAACCAACAGTGACTCACAAACGCTCCTCCCCCTGCCACGTATTTTGTTAGTCTTCAAGGTGCTCCTGGACTCTTTGCGACTAATAAAGAATATCAGAAACTGAGAAAGACCGTTCTTGGTCTGAGAGCCCAGAGAACGACTGCCAGTTACAGGAGAGACTTCTGGGGTCGATGGACGATGTGCCCGACTTGCTGTGAAGCTGGTTCTCGTAGGGATTTTCAGGCAAGACGGACCTCTTGCTAATGGGGGGGGGATTACCGTAGCCGGACCCACCTGGCTGCTGGCCGTGATGTCCTCCCGATCCTGCCGGCTCATGCTCTGCAAGACGTCCGCCGCCTCCTTCTCACAGGGGTCCTGGAGCCCAGGGCCATCTGAAGGCAAGGAGGAAGGGCAGCACCAATTACATGACCCAAACAGGAGGGGACCGAGGGGAGGTAAAGGCGCCTTTGGGCAGCCGGAGGCCGCTCCCACCCTGCAAGGAACAGTCCTGTGGCTTGCTTACTCGGTTCGTTGACTTCCGGAACAACCATTGTCCCATTGCACGCGTGCACACACACCCAAGAATACCCTCGATGAGTTACACAGATAACCGTCATCGGGGGGGATTTTGCACCTGGCATTCGCTCCACATTTTCTCAACCGGGAGGGGAAAGTGCAGCTCAAAACCACATTCAGATGTGGTAACGCCTTACGGACTGCAAAGTCACCCCCGAACAGCCATAAATCTATGCAGAAGGTACCATAGAAGAAGAGATTGGATTTATACCCCGCCCTTCACTACCCAAAGGAGTCTCAGAGCGGCTGACAAACTCCTTTCCCTTCCCCTCCCCACAACAGGCACCCTGTGAGGGAGGTGGGGCTGACAGAGCTCTGACAGAAACTGCTCTTTTATCAAGAACAGCTCGGACAGAACTATGGCTTGCCCAAGGTCACGCCAGCAACTGCATGTGGAGGAGTGGGGAATCAAACCCGGTTCTCCCAGATTAGAGTCCGCGCACTTAACCTGTAAGAAGAGCTCTGCAAGCTCTTGGGAGGACTGGCTACATTAGGGGGCGTGTCGCCTGATATGCAAAGGAGTCCCTGCTACAAAACGAGCCCTGGCTGCAGGCAAAATCCACACACACACCCAGCAAGGTATTCTCCCCCCCCCCCCCCCCCCCGGGGTGTTTTTTAGGGTTTGTTTGTAGGCGGACAGCACTTTGTAGGAACAGGTAGAGTATGTGGCTTATAACAAGTGCAGGAGCGAAAATTCAGGCTTCCGGATTCCAAGCGGTGGAAAGATTTGCGCACCGACACAGCAGCCGAGGGGGAAATGCTGCAGTTATATCTGGGTAGAACTGACCTGACAGAAGCATTCCGGCGGCGATGCACTCGAGGACGCGCCGTATGGCCTCGCCGGGACCCAGTGGCCCCGTGGCGCTGCTCAGGGCCCTTTCGACCAGAAGCTCCATGGCCTGGGGGAAGGGGTGGGGGGAGATTTAAGACATTTCAAGAAGATGGAAGTTTGAAAAGAGAGAGGCTGCCTGTTACCCATTCATGCTCTGGTGATCTCTGGGTGGAAGCTGACTTTGAAAGCAGGACAAAAACTTGGCGGGGGAGGTGGGGGGGGGGATGGAGAATGCCACCCATTTGTTGGGGGGGATTGGGGTGTGTGTGTCTGCAGCTGGAAGTCACTGACTGACCCCCTACTGGGGGCCTGGAGGATATTCGGAGAGGTGGCCGAATAGGGCCTGCCCCTGTCCTCCCGCCTCTGGCATTCCTTGGAGGCCTCCCATCCAAGTACTAACCACAGTCGACCCTGCTTCGCTTCCGAGATCTGACGAGACTGGGCTTGCCTGGGCTGCCCAGGTGAGGGTGCCACGTGTTCACGGGCATGACTGGCTGGGGACCGGGATCGTCACATCGGTTCACAAACGTCAGCAATGGGCAAGTGGTTTGCTCCCCATTCTGTGATCCTGGAACGCAGGGTAAGACCCCTCGAACTGGTCAGCAGGAGATTCAGAAGGGGTGGTGGTGGTGAGGAAGCCCTTTATGGAAGTCAGGTTCCCCCTATGCTGAGTTAGTGTGAGCTGGCTCACAGTTTTTTTTAATCTTCCAGCTCACACGTTTTTGTCTTCGCTCAGGAAGGAGGGCTCCAGAGCAGTGCTCCCTCTAAGCTGTGGAGTCTTGTGAGCAAAAATTCTACTTTGTGAGCTACTGGCAATAAAGTGGTGAGCGAGCGATTGGGCTACTGCATAAATAAGTTTGATCTGGAGCCCTCCTTCCTGGGCTCACTCAGCTTAGAGGGAACACTGCAGTCCAGAGCAAACTGATTTATGCAGCAGCCAAATTGGTCACTCACAGCTTTAATGCTAGTAGCTCACAAAATTTAATTTCTGCTCACAAGACACCACCGCTTTGGAGGGAGCATTGGTCACCACTGAAGGGTGAGGTGGTGGGGACGAGCCAAATTAATCAAGGGTTATCCCAACATTAGTGAAACCTCCATTCTCAGAAGCAGGCTACCTTTGACTACAAGATGCAGGGGAGAGGAGGGCCCTCGCCTTTGAGGGCCCCTCCTCAGTGGGTTTCATGGAGACATCTGGCTGGCCAATGTTGGACGAAAGAAACCCAGTTAGACAGAGCTTCATCCTGATCCAGCAGGGCTCCTCTTACACTTGTTATGTTCTCCCCGACAGCCCTTATTTCCCAGCTTTGAACCAAAATGAAATAAATTCAGAGAAGAGACTATAGGGCAACCAGTGGCTGTGACCTAAGGAACCTAAACATGGAACCTCCATGTAGCCAGGCAGTCTACCTCTGAATATCAACCACCAGGGCTTCCTGACATCCCTTGCGTAAGTCTACTGCCTTCACGGCTCCCTTGAAGACTCCCATGAAGTAGTTCAGCTGCCTGTTGTTGCAAACAGGATGCCGGGCTAGGTCTGATCCTGCAGGAGGGCTAGTGAAACAGACTGGCAAGACCCAACACATGTTCTGTTCTTCCAGGCATTTGGGTTTTAATGGGAAAGCTGCTCTGACACGTTGCGTTCGCTCGTCAAAATCATTTCGCCAATTAAGGACTGTTGTGGATGCAACTGCTAAACTGCCTTCTGTACGCAGAGCCCACCCACGCAGCATTTGCATTCGAGGCTGAAGCACAAACATTGCAAAGGCGCTCACAATTCACAACCATCGCCCTTGCGAACAATACTTTCTCTCGCTGAAAAGAAGATGCTCCAATCGTTGCAATGGGATGGAAATCCCACCGCTGGTGGACCTCAGGCGTCCCCAAGAGGGGTGAGAGACTTGCCAGTCGCCACCCATACCTTTCATCTCTTGCGTGACCCACCCAATGATCCAGCAGGAGTTCACTGTCAACTCTGCTGGAATGCTCAGTTTAGAGAATTACACAGAAGGAAACGTTGAAGAGGAAGGAGGGCTGGATTTTATACCCCGCCCCTTCACTACCCGACAGAGTCTCAGAGCGGCTTGCCATCTCCTTCCCTTCCAACAACGGACACCCTGTGAAGTCGGTGGGGCGGAGAGAACTCTGAGAGAACTGTGACTGACCCAAGGTCACCCAGCTGGCTTCATGTGAAGGAGTGGGGAATCAAACACGGTTCTCCAGACTGGAGTCTGCCTCTCTTAGCCACGACACCAGGCTGGTAGTCACTCCCATCCTCAGGAAGGTGGCTGTGGAATCACTACGGAAGGGCTTTCCAGCTGTTTTGCAACAGCTCCCTTAACGTGGAACCGCACAAGCTACTTGGGAAGACTGGCCCGAGATCACCTCCTTACCCAATCTGGAAGAGCGCCCCATGTCGGCACGCGCTGGCACAGGTCCCGCAACACCCTGATGATGATCACGCACGACTGCAGACCGTTCGCTCGGGCCTTGGGGAACACAACAGCACAGGCTAGAGAACCTACATCCAAGCAGACGCTGGTGTGTGTGTGGTGGTGGGGCTTTGGGTGCAGCGATGCTGATTTTTTTTCCTGATTCTACAGCAGCGATGCCCAAGCAGTGTGCCATGAGAAATAAACCAGAGGTGCACGGGAGCCCAGTGTCGCCACCCTCTGCAGAGCCTGCCCACAGGGTCTTCTGTAGGGGCTCCCACTCTGGGTTTGTCCTCCTCCCGTGCCTCTGGGGTTCCATCGGCCTGACTGGATGGCCAGATCTGAAATTACACGCCAGGCCACCTCCAAAACCAATCTTGGCATGGGCCTGGCCTGTCCCTCTTTGCTAACGGAAGTGGGAGAAGATTCACGTAAGGGGCCTGCCGCCCTGTGCTGGCCTGCCCAGCCGGAAAGACCAGAGAACTAACTACGCGGCCGGACCACTGCAGAGCAGCTTGTGTTCTACCTGGAACCATTTAGCATGGCGGAGAGCGGCCAGTGACTCCAGGCATTTCTGCTTGTCCAAAAAATCAGACGACTCGAGCGGAGGTTCCGATGACGCCTCTGAAGGATACAAAGGACAGAAAACTGGCATCAGAAGAGAATACAACACACACACGGGGTGCGGTCGGACGGGCCGTTTAGTCCGCTTTCGGCACGCTTCAGTAACGGATTTTATATCCACGTTCACACACCCAACATCTGCGCACCGTCCCCAGCCGTCGCCTTCCAGCTCAACCCCCCTTTAAAACGGAGTATTTTGTTACCAGGTCCCCAAGTGGTGTTTTCCTGATTCTCCGGTTCTAGCCGCACTTTCCTGACGTCTTTTCGCTCCAGTTTAAACCCCCTCCCCGCTCGAAAGCTGCCCAAGGCTTCCGCTTTTCGCCTGCCATTTTTTTAATGCGTTGGCAGTGTGCGCATAGGCGGAGCTCCGCCACCGCGTTTAGAAAACCGACATTTAAACGGTCACTTATCTTAGCGTTTAGATGATTTCGGGATCTCAAGGAGGCCATTTTCGGGTCAAACTTTTAAAGGGAAGTCTTTTGTTGGAGGGATTGGATTGATTCGCCCTGGTGGTTCTGCGCATGCGCCATGATAGTCCCCCCCCCTTCTATGGAGGAGCGCCTATGCACATGTGGGCACAAACTGAGGAAATGTTTTTTTAAAAACCCGCCAACACACGCTCCCGCGCGTCAGTAGTGTAGACGCCAGGGAGCGACGTGACTGCGCGGTGAGGCAGGATAAGGGAGGTAAGTGTGATCGCGATTATCCAGATCAAATATAATCCGGTTAGAACCGGAGCAGTTTAACCCGCTACCAGCACGCCGTCTCACCACGCCCATACCCGCGCAGAGACAATGGCTTAATCATCCGGGCTGAAGCAGACACATGCTCAACTGCGGTTTAATCGGACCCCGGTTGGTCGTGATGTCTGGAGGCAGACAGCTCAACAAGCTGGGGCGGGGAAACCATCGATCCGCACCGAGCCGGGATTTCAAAGCCAGGTTTACGAACTGTCATTTATCAAAACCTGGGTTTGTTACAGTGCCTGAATCCTGAATTCTATGACTGCTGGTGTTTTGTCGACTAGGGTGGAGCCCCACAAACCAACCCCCACTTGAGAAGCTGTCAGGAGCCTGGGCCTGTGGTGGAGCAGCCTACAGCCTCTAGGGAGGCCTGGTGAGATCAGGGCCTACATCTCCCAGGTTCCCTCTGGACCCTGCGACTGAGTAACAGGGGATTTTGGAGGGGAAACTACACCAGCCGGGGAGCAGAGGGTGGTGCCCAAGAAGAAGTGATAAGAGGCCTTGCCCTAAAGTAGGAGGGGGTTCACTCCCTGGGAGCAGGGCTGGTGTGAAGCTGCTGCAGAAGGAGGGATCCCTCATGGTCTCAGTCTGAGACCAGGCGCCCAGGGGAGGCTAGGTACAGTATAGTCAGACGCTTTAGGGTTTCTAATTTTGCTAGTTTACCTGCCTTTACTGTGCTCATTTTTCCTACATGTTGTTCTCTGTATCGTTCCAATTTTAGTATCTGTGCTGCCGAAGTAAGCACTTTTTTCCTACATGTTCCTGAACTACAGTTGTTGTTAAATCTCTTTAATAAAACTAGCTTGTTACTCTGCCTGGGTCCTCACGCCTCGTTGGGAACCCTACTGGAAAAGTACTGTAGAGAGGTGCAAGGTGGGTGGCTCCGGGCCCTCCTGAGGAGACCCATTGTCAGACTGGTGGCAGCCACTAGTGAACCCTTCTAGCCGCTGCCCGGCCACAACAGGAGCCGATGAACCTTCTGTGGACTGTCAGTCCAGCTACACCACCCTGCCGGGCAGTGGCTCTTCGAGGTCTCAGACGGAGACGGGGCTTTTCCCAGTCCCTCTACCCAAGATGCAGTGGAGACTGAGCCGGGAACCTTGGTCAAGTAAAGCAGCCACTCTACTGCATGGCCTCCACCTCTCCCTTGAATCTAGGGCTACCAAGTAATTACCGCAAATCGGCAGGGGACGTATAGTTCTTGGTGGGAACATTCCCGTGGGGAAAACACAGGCGCTGCACTATCCTGTCGCCCAGACATGACGTGGGCATGTAGCCGGGCGACGCTCTGGCAATGGGGCTGAAAACTCTATGGTACCATCGAGTTTCCAGCCTCACTGCCAGAGTGTAGCCCGGCTACGTGCCCAGCGTGCTTACGTCACGTCTGAGCAACAGGAGAGTACGACGCGGCCATGTTACACGCAAGAATGTTCCGGCGGGGAAGCACCTGTCCCCCGCCGATTCGTAGGTAGGTACTTGGTAACCCTACTTGAACCACCACAAACCACTGTGTGTCTGTTCAGGGAACGGATGAGTTTGCAAAACCCACTTCGGCCCACAGCGTTCAAGCCCTGTAGGTCTGCCCACTGTGTGCACCTCAAGTCATAGCAAGCGTTCTTTTAGAGCAATATCTGACGCAACTTCCGCTCTGAGCTGGAGGACGTCGTGGCCAGCCGCCACTGCTGCGAGGAGTGTGGTGCCTACCTTTCGTGGGATCGTTCTGGTTCCCAGCTTTGCTACAGTTATTGGATTTTTTTTTTTAATCAACAGGGCTCGTTTTTCACTCCCAACTGCCCGGAATAGCTCAACATGGACAGCTTTCAGTTTATATTTATTGGAAGTGGTGCCTTGTTCCCCCCCCCCAATATGGATGTTAGGGGTAGTTGGTTCCTACTCATGGCAGCTTAGCTGACACTGTGGCCAAACACCAGCCCTTGTGTTTCCAAAGAGGAAAAAGTGACGAAGATTTCAGGGTCCTGTCCAAAAGGGTGTCCAGGGGGGTACTTGAGTGCAACGACCAGGAACTCACCTGGGTCCGCAGGGTCAGGCTCAGGCTCAGGGTCAGAAGCAGGAGCGTCTTCTCTCACCAGAGGAGAAGTGAGCGACACCGTCACTTGCATTTTGGGGTCCTTGGAAGAGGCGATGGTGATACTGGCTTCCTTCACGTCGGAGACGACTTCGTAACTGTCCTTGGTCACCTTCTGGGAAACGACACATGGAAGCAGATGCCGTCACCGTCCCTGAGCTGCCCCTCTGTCCCGCCCCCCCCCGCCCCCGACTCCTCCCGTCTCCGTTCTCTCGAGTTCGGCCCCACTCTGAAATCACCCCCTTCTCCTGTTGCTCTGACCAAGTGATTCCCTAGTTCAGATTTCTACATCGACTTGCCGCTTCCCCTCCGCCACCAGGACACGCTCCTTCTGTTGGCCTTCAGAGCCCTCCCCAGGCTTGCCCCTCTCCCTCTTTTGATCCCCCTCTCCCAGTGTGCCCATGGCCTTCCTTTCACTCCCTGCCAGTGACCCAAGAGCAGTGTTCCCCCTAAGTTGAGTTAGTGTGAGCTAGGTCACAGTTTTTTAGCCTCCGGCTCACACATTTTTGTCTTAGCTCAGGAAGGGTGGCTCCAGAGCGAACGAATTTATGCAGCAGCCCAACTGCTCGCTCACAACGTCAATGCCAGGAGCTCGCAAAGGAGAATTTTTGCTCGCAAGACTCTACAGCTTAGAGGGAGCATTGCCCAAGAGTGGCCAAAAGTGTCCAGTTCCACACTCTCCCATCAACACAGGAAAGGTGGCAACTCTACTGGGCATGGCTTCCCCAGCTGTGACCCTGGACCTCACAGCCTTTGTTCGGGCCTTCTGGGGACTCTGAACTACCCTTTTCCGGAGGACTCTGGGAGAGATTCTTCACCTATTGGATTTTTTTTTTTAATCAACAGGGCTCGTTTTTCACTCCCAACTGCTCGTTTTAATGGCTTTGCTACTGAATGACTCCTCAGCTCGTGGGGTGTGTGTGTGTGTGTTCCTAACTTTTTAAACTGTTGTTTTATTACTGCTTTTAAGAGCACTTGGAGTTGGCACCAATGTTTCCTCTAAGCTGAGCTAGTGTGAGCTAGCTCACAGTTTTTTAGCATCCGGCTCACACATTTTTGCCTTAGCTCAGGAAGGAGGGCTCCAGAGCAAACTGATTTATGCAGTAGCCAAATCGCTCGCTCACAACTTTAATGCCAGTAGCTCACAAATGCCAGTTTTGCTCACAAGGGACTCCACAGCTTAGAGGGAGCATCGGTTGGCACCCCTTACTGGTTGGATGTTTCAGCTTTCGAACACCAATACTTTTTGCTGCATTATATACGTTGCCCTGGAGAACGACTATTGGGGGGGGGGGAGAAAAGGCGGCTACGCATTTTAAAAATAAACGACCATCCACAGACACTCGAACTTCTTCTGCAAAGCCTCCACACACTCCTTGCTGCCCCTCTGTGCCAGGAACTCCCTCCCCTCCCCACCCACATGGTGCCACCTCCTCTATTATTTAAATCCCTCTTCAGAACCTACGTTTCTGGCAGCATCTTCAGCATCTCTCTCTCCCCTCGAGTCTGCAAGACTTAACTGTAACCGATAGAACAAATGAAGCAAAAATGCACTGTATAAATAACACAGATTTAAAAAGCGCTCAAGTAATATACAAATATAGTGAAGGATGTTTATATATAACAAAGTGACAAAATACTAGCAAGGAGTAACAGGAAACAACATATATCAGTAATGGCAAGACTACATGATTATAATACAAAAAATGAAAAGTAATACAGAGTGTACAAAGGAAACTGGCACCGAAGACACAGGGACGAAGGCTTAACTGTAATTGTAGTGTAATGCAGTTATTGAGGAAGAGCTATCGAAACGAAGATGGACATTCGGAGTCTTCGTCCCTGTGTCTTCGGTGCCAGTTTCCTTTGTACACTCTGTATTACTTTTCGGTTTTTTGTATTATATTTATGTAATCTTGCCATCACTGATATATATTGCTTCCTGTTACTCCTTGCTAGTATTGTGTCACTTTGTTCTATATAAACATCCTTCACTATTTTTGTATATTACTTGAGCGCTTTTTAAATCTGTGTTATTTATACAGTGCATTTTTGCTTCATGATTATATTGTACTGTGTAATCATCGTTGTCTTCTACCAATAGAACAAAGTCGGAGTCCAGGGGCACCTTTAAGACCATCAAAGTTTTATTCAAGGCGTGAGCTTTCGTGCGAACACACACACTCCATCAGACGATGAAATGGAATTACAGATCATAGTTGTATAGAGAGAGTGGCTTGTTAAATTAGCATGCAAAGTAGTGAAGATGTTTTTTAACAGATAAAAAGAATGACAACCAGAAACCAAGCTTGTCTGATGAAGGGTGCGTGCGCACAAAAGCTCACACCTTGAATCAAACTGTGTTGGTCTTAAAGGTGCCCCCCATGGACTTCTCAACTCTGTTCTGTTGCTTCAGACCAACCAGGCTGCCCACCTGGATCTCTCCGTAACCAAGAGGGTTCAATGACATCTGCTCACTTGCTTCCCAAGTTACCCTCATCTGGTCCCTTCTCAGGCAGGGTCTTGCTTCAGAACGGGAAGCTCCTTGGGAGAGATGGGGCCTCGTTGGTCTGCTCCTGAAATTCTATACGGGGCCATGGATGCTGACGGAGCTGTGCATGCGCCCCCACCCCCCACGGAGCTACCAATGCAAATCTTACCCCCAGCTGTTCAGGCAGCTGCTCAGCAATGCTCTGGAAGAGGGTCAGAGTCGGCTTCCGGGCCGACAGCAGGATGAGGTGCACGTTCCTGTCCCCGCGGAGGAGCAGCCCTTTTGCCAAGATGCCTACTCTCATGACCCCTTTCAGCACCCGGGGCAGGCCTTCGGTCTTCCTGTTGGAGGAACACACAAACACAAGAAGCTGCCTTATTGTCGTGGGCCGGCATGGCTGAAGGTTCCTCAGGAGCCGCGTGCGACCAGCTCTGAACCAGCTGAAGTTAGGGAATCAGGGACACGGGAGCCTCTAGGTTCATGGCCGTCAGCTGACCTTGACCCACCCAGGCCTAGCTCTGAAGGAGCCAATGAAGCACAGCTGCAGAAAAGTCACTCATTGGGCTCCCCCTGAGAGCTGAATGGCGAAGGGGAAAGGTTCCGGCAAGACTTAAGGAGATGCAGGCAGAGTGCTCATCATCGCCTGGCTCGGCGCCAGCTGCTTCATAACCGCAGTCCTGATGAAGTGCAGGAGCACCTCCAAGCAGATGGCTATAAATCTGGCATGTTGAGGAAAGCCTATATAAATCAGGCCCAGGGGAACTGCAGCTTGTGGAAGCAACATGCCATGACCCTGTGAATTTCGCAACCAGAACTCCGGACTCTGCCTGCCACCTGTGACCTCTGGACTGACCCTCGACTCTGCCTTTTGGACCTGCCTGAACCTTGCAGACCTCGACGGCCTCGGACGGCCTTGGCTCTGCTTTCCTAAGCAACAAACGGACTCTTGTCTGCTGCTAAACCGGTATTTTATCTCTCGACTGGACTCTTGACTGTGATCGAGCTCCACTGCCTGGCTCTGCCAGTATTCTGGGACCCTTATACGGTAGTAAAATTTATTGTGTGGCCATTGGCCATTACAATTTAACAGTATACAAATTAGACAACTTACAGCACTGGAATCTGAATTAGATTTAAAATATAACCACCTCTAAAAGTCTGCACATTCGGTATTTAAATCAATTAAAACCTTAAATATAGATACCCATCTCCAGAAACACATACACAGCCTCAAACGTTGCCATTTTACGGTTCAATTTCATTTCATTTTCCCATGTTCTTGGCCCTGATCTTACTGGCCGCTAAGGCGAAGAGTGCTACCCTATAGGAAGCCATAGGGTCTGCGTCTGACAGCAGAAATATTGATTTATCGGTGTCAGAATATTTTTCGCAATTGATCTATTATTGCAGTCAAGAGCTTACATCTTGGTTCCCAGTACAATGGGCAGACCAAGACATAATGAAAAAGATTCTCCACAGAAGTTTTACAGATAGAAAAAGTTTGTTCCTGGGGGATTTCTAAGTATCGTCCCAGGAGTAATTCTGTTGGCATCGTCTGGAAACGCAATGCTGTAAATGCTATTCTAAGCTTGGATGCGGTAATATTGTTACCAGGTGGACCCTTAGACTGAATCAGACCCTTGGCCTGTTGGAGCCACTCTTGCCCGCTCAGACCAGCACTGGCTCTCCAAGGTCCTAGAGGGAGGTCTTGCACACTACCGACTGCCAGGTCCTCAAACTGGAGAGGCGGGGATTGAACCTGGGACCTCCTGCCTGCCAAGCAGAGGCTCTGCCACTGAGCCACAGCCCCTCGTGTAAGGGCGTGTGAGGTCTGACTACATGGCACAGGTGATTTAAAAAGGATCGGTAGAACTGCCAGGAGGCCTCTGGATTTCCCGTATACGAGAGGACTGGTTGGCATGCCAGTCGCTGGAGCGCCAACCAACTGCATTTAGGTACTAAAACTGAGACTTCGGCCTTGTTCTCTCTTCCAAGAAGAGGAGATTGGATTTTTACCCTGCCCTTCACTACCCAAAGGAGTCTCAGAGCGGCTTGCAATCTCCTTCCCCCTCCCCTCCCCACAACAGACGCCCTGTGAGGTAGGCGGGGCTGCGGGAGCTCTCTCGAGGACTCCTCCTGAGAGAACAGCTCTGAGAAAACTTGTGACTGACCCAAGGTCACACCAGCAGCTGCATGTGGAAGAGTGGGGAATCAAACCCGGATCTCCCAGATTAGAGTCTGCACTCCTAGCCACTGCACCAAACTGGCTTTTGAGTTCCACCCTGAGCTCCTTGGAAGGTGAGATGAAAACATAATGCACGGAGGCAGCCGAGAAGAACTGGTGGACTCCCAACAACACAAGTGATGCCCACCACCACTGGGGACGGAAGGAGAGATTACCTAACTCCACCTGAAACCCACTGGGACCCCCATCACCTTCTCTCCGCCACACCTACCTCACAGGTGCGCCGTGAGGATAAAACAGGCGAGAGAAAAGGGAGGGACAAAAGTGCACTGGATTGATGGGGAAAAGCATTACCCCGGTTCTTTAGTCCCTTCCTCTTTCCCGGATTCTTGTTCCGTCAGCCAATCGGAGACAAGCCTCAGGGCACGCTCAGAGTGCGACACCACTGTCTGAATGGCCTGCAGCTCTTCCTCCGTTGGGTAGATGCTGGAGTGCTTCGTCATGATGTGCCGGTCGTCAGAAGAGTCTGGCCGCCGGGTGGGCTGCGGGAGATAAAATGGCAGGCTTTAACTAGCAATCTGGAAGGAGGGAAAGAGAAAAACACAAAAGACAGGTTTCAAACTTGGCAAGAGGATGGAATAATACTCGGGGCAGGGGGAGGGAAGGAAAGAGAAGAGAGAACACCCTTAAGAGACAGAGGGAGAGTGAAGATGGAACGGGCCCTCGACGCCCTCTCTTCTCGCTACAGGCAGCCAACCCACCTCTTCAGCTTAAGGCCTCGATATATACGGAAACCACGAGGACTCCAAGCTCGCTTTCTCTCCCCCCCCCTCCAGAAAAGGCTACTGCTCCACGGGAACCCTACCCATCTTTTGACAGTTGAAAGATTCTAAGTCCAGCCTAAAAGCGGGGGTTCCGTGCACCGCCTGGGCACAAGAGAGAAGATCCTGAACCTGAATGCAGCCTCCACCCCCACAGAATACGCCTTTGCATCGACACGACAGAGGTACAGCCCGATGCCCACATAGCCCGTGCGGTGCTGAAATATGTCCAGTGGCTGAGCTCGCTTTTACAAAAACCCAAGCCAAACTCTGCCAAGCAGGATCCTTTGCGGAACTTACGCGCGTAATTTATGAATCGAGCTACCTCCTCCTTTCCCAGAGTCCAGCAGCACAGGCAGGCAATCTGGGCATCGGGAACAACCAACGCTTACAGAACCGGGTTAGTGCACAAGACGAGGGAAACCTATTCCTCCTGAAACTGCCTTTTCTCTGGAGAAGTCTGAGGGGCCTAGCCTTTGGGGGGGGCAGGGGAAGAGAGCACGACATACGACCCCCGGGAGTCTGAGCTCTGAAGTCGCCAAAATCCCAAAACGAGGGTACTCACCAAGAGAGGGGGCACCGGCACCCCAGGCCTGCCCATGAGGGGTGGGGGGCGCCAGTCCGCAGCCAGGCGCCGCCGCTGCTGCTCCTCCCAGTACAGCTGCTCTTCCTCCACTCTCCGCCAGTACATCTCCTCTTCGTAGCGCCTGGAGGAGGCCGGGGGTGGGTGGGGGAGAAACGGCAAGCAGAGACCGCGTTAGAGCAGCTCGGCAGTAGAGAAGGTCATCCCCTAAGCAGGAAGCGCCCACTGCTGCCGGCATGATCTGCAAGAGCTTTTCTCGGGGTGGAGAACGAGAGCTTTTGGGGGGGGCATGGAACCCGCTGGGACAAACTGCTGTGGACTCCCCCCCCCCTTCATCCCCACGCAGAGCAAAATGCTAAGGGACGAAGGGAGAACCACGGAGACGCCCATGGCCCTTTAAATCATAATAACTGTGAGCCATCGAGTCGCAACTGATTCACGGCAAGCCCACCCCACAGGGTTTTCAAGGCAAAAGACGAGCAAAGGTGGTGGGTTTGCTCTTGCCTTCCTCCGCACAGCCCCCCCCAGCAATGCTCCCTCTAAGCTGTGGAGTCTTGAGAGCAAAAACACTACTTTGTGAGTTACTGGCATTAAAGCTGTGAGCTACTGCATCAACTAGTTTGCTCCGGAGCCGTCCCTCCAGAGCTAAGGCAAAAATCTGTGAGCCGGAGGCTAAAAGACTGAGCTGGCTCACGCGACCCAGCTTAGAAGGAACACTGACACCCACCCCACCCGGCTTTCCTTGGCGGTCTCCCGCCCACGTGATAAGCAGGCCTGAGATCTTGTTGCTCCTGCGAACCGTGGCCTGCGACCCGCTTCCAACCCTGGCAGAGTGGCCAACTGTATGCCACGGGTGCTGTCTTTTGGGACGCTGCTCTGCCAGACAGCTCCCCGAGCCCCAGGTTGGCGCGACGTCTGACTGGGGCTGGCTGCCGGCTCAGAGGTGAGAAAGCAGCCCAGGCCGCCGGCGTCCTGCTCCTCCCCGCCCCCCCGGGTGTCTCCAGGCAAGGGGAAGGCGCCGAGACTCGCCTCATCTCCAGGTGCCAGCGCTGCTCCTCCTCTCGGCGCCTCTTCACCAGGGCTTTCAGCTGCTGCTTCTTCAGCAGCTTCTCCTCGTGCAGCTTCCGGAGACGGTTGCTGGGCTTGATCTCCACAGGGAGGTCAGGGTTGACCTTCTTCTGCAAGGCAGTTTCCAAGGCACGATAGTTGAAGAAAAGAGATCCCCCCCTACGGGGCGGCCGTTGCTAAGGAACACCTGGGGAAAGGCGCTGGTGCGTGTTCATGGGGGGGGGTTCAAGCACACCAGTTGATTACCTGACCTCCCCAGCGGCAACTAGGACCGCCCCCTGTGCCAGCCACGTGGCGTGGTGCAGTCTGAACAAATGCCGGGCAAAGCCCCCCTGCCGGCCATCCCCCCCGTGCTGGGGGACTGGTTTCTGCACTTCGATGGATTTGCCCTAACCCCCCCCTCCCCCCAACAGCAATGCTTTGAACCCTCCCCTTGGATTTGGAGGCACTTGTTAAAAATAACACTTTCTAAAAAGGCTACTCCATTAATTAGGGGTGTCCTTTTTTGGGGGGGGTGCACTGCAATCCTGCTGGATTTGATGACCTCTGCTAGGGCTGTGATGCCTTTCATCACTTAGGAGGGACGGGAGGAGCAGATGTGAACACAGGAAGCTGGCCTTATACTGAACCTCGGTCCATCAAAGTCAGTATTGCTTACTCTTACTTTTTTTACACTCAAGAGTGGTTCAGCATTGGAATCGGCAGCCTAGGGCGGTCGTGAGCTCCCCCTCAGGGGCAGTCTTCACTTGTCAGGGATGATCTAGGCTGATCCTGCACTGAGCAGCGGGTTGGACTAGGTGGCCTGTCTGGCCCCTTCCCACTCTGTGGCTCCATGACTGGCAGCGGCTCTCCAGGGTCTCAAGCCGAGGTCTCTCATACCACCGACTTGCCAGATCCTTTCACTGGAGATGCTGGGGATTGAACCTGGGACCTTCTGCATACCCAACCAATGCTCTGCCACTGAGCCACAGCACTGCAGTGGGCTTCGGAACAGCTGAGGTCTACAAAGGCCAACTTTCCCCCCAGCCCCTTCTCTTTCTGCAGGTAGGAAAAGAGCCCTCGGAGCATAAGCTGAACAGCCTTTGCCTCTTAGTTTGGGAACTTGTGGAAATAAGCTTGCCGGACCCAGACTAGGTGTTATGATCTGTGCAGGACTGGGAGACCACTACACCAAACTGGCTATAGTCACAGTATGCATAAATGTTGTTGTTGTGACACCACCAACTTTATAATTGTTTAATACATTGTTTTGGCAATCTTTGACAGTGTTTTCTGCTAGTGGAATTTGTATATTTGGGACCCCTGTGTCACAGCAGCCTCGCACTTTCGTATCATGGTCTGCATTATAACTGCAAACAAGCTGGCCGGTGGGGACGAGGCCGCCGGACGGTACCTTGTACTGGATCCTGTGCCGCCGCCCCTTCAGGTGCATGTCCTTGGCATTGGGATCATTGAAGCTGCACTCGCAGAGCTTGCAATGGAAACGGATCATCTTCCCTTCTTCGTTGTGTACCTGGAAGGTGGAGGAAGCACCGTCAGCTACGGGCGGTCCGGCAGAGGCAGGAAAGCCCTGCTGGGGTGGTGGTGAGCCCCAGGGCTTGTTTGTTTAGGGGATTTTTATGCCGCCTCTCCGGTGTCCTGCTTGAGTCGGCTCAGAAGTAAGAATACCATAATGTCACAAATTATCAATATTTATAAAAGCCAAGGTAAAGGTCAAGGTTTCCCTTGCTTGAAAGCCAGTCGAATCTGACTTTAGGGTTGAGGTGCTTATCTCCGTTTCCAAGCTGAAGAGTCAGCGCTGTCCGAAGACGTTAAGTGGCTAGCATGACTAAACGCCGAGGTGCACGGAACGCTGTTACCTTCCCACCAAAGAGGTAGCTATTTATCTACTTGCAATTTCTTGCTTTCGAACCGCTAGGTTGACAGGAGCTGGGGCCAGAGACAGGAGCTCACTCCATCATGCGGCACTCGGGTCTCAAACTGCTGAACTACCAACCTTCCGGTGTGCAGTTCAGCATCTTAACCACTTGAGCCACCGCAGCTCCTATACAAGCCATTAAAAACAAGCGACAGCACAAAAGACATTAAAAAAACACAACTCGGACCGAAACAAGCTGGTAAAAACAAGCGAGTACAAAATATTTACAAAACAGAGCTCAGACCAAAAGCAGACCATGAAAACAGCTAAAGAGATTTTTTTAAAAAAATTCCTTCATTTATGCCCCGCCTTTCTCCGAAAGATTTAAGCCACTGCAATCCTATTTTGATTTTTAACCCTAAAATTCTTCGGATATATCTTCTAGAAGACAGTCAAAAACCTGTCTCTTACGCGGTGGCCAGGTTTTGTGCCCTGGCTTTTAGAAAGCGGAACTATTTGTCTAAGAGAATGCTAAAGGCCGAAGTACACATTTTAATTGTGCTGTGATTTTAATCTTTATGTATTAGTTGTCCAAGCTGCATTTTCACCTTGCTGGTCTCAACCGTAATAATACATTTGAATTTGAATTTGCCCCACCTTTCTCCTCGATGGGGACCCAAAGGGGCTGACAGTTTTTCCTCCTCTCCTCCACTGCATCCTCACAACAACTCTGTGTGTGTGTGTGGGGGGGGTGACTGGCCTGAGATCACCCAGGAAGCTTCCATGGGGAGTGGGGATCTGAAGCTGGGTCTCTTAGGTCCTAGTCTGACCTTCTAACCCAGGGGTACCCAACACGGTGCCCACCGACACCTTTCCTGGTGCCCACCAAGCGCTTTCAGAACATGGGTGGGGCCAGGTGAAGCTTTGCCCAGCAAGGCTTCTGATCGGCTGTGTGGATTTTTAAAAGCCCTTGATGGCCAAGGACCTGCATACCTTTCCCTATATATGCCCCAGAGGACGCTTAGATCTGGGACCCAGAATCGGCTGGCTCTCCCAAGCTCTCCCAACTAGGGCCAGGGCTTTTTCGGTGGCGGCCCCTCTCTGGTGGAATGAGCTCCCAGAAAAGACCAGGGCCCTGCGGGACCTCATGCAGTTCCACAGGGCCTGCAAAACGGAGCTCTTCCGCCAGGCTTTTGGAGCTGCCGCCACCTAATACTCCACCACCAACAATTAATAGCTATGTTGGCTGAGCCCTGACCCACTGGTCCCTTAAATGCTGCCCGTGCCAATCACCTAAGAGAGCCAAGGAAGACCGAAGAGCTGACCGTAAACTGAGGATATTGCTAGCACTTTACTATGTTTTATTATGTTTGAGTTTTTAAAATTCTATGTATATTTATTTATGTGATTTTATCTATATATCTAATTTCCAACAGAGGGCGCCGTGTGCAGATACTTATTTCCACTAACAGGAAGCTCACTCTGCCCCAACAGCTTTTCCTACATAGTGAGTATACCTCCTGTGTCTGCAGAAAAATCCAAGAAGTAAAAAAAATCCCTTCAGGGACGGCTGAATCCCCCCAAATACCTTTTGAAATGGCCTCTGCAGCGATCTAACTCCAGGCATCAACGGTGAGAGAGAGATTAGAACATTCAGGGCGGCGGGGGGGAGGAGGGCTTCTAACTGGCTCTGTGAGTCAAAGGGTGGGGGAAGGGCCGTTTCCTGGCCTCTTTTGGCCTTTCAAGGAGGGAGGGAGG